TACTCAAAGAGTAAAAGGGAGTTTTAATATTCAAGATTGTGTTTACAATGTCCATAGGGCCCGATTATATAGGGAGAGGGGATGAGAAAAATACATAATACATTGAATGTGAACATGAGGAAGCTTCCTAGCAACATCCACTTCCAAAGCATGGGGTAACCTTCATTTAATCTTGTCTCCAAAGTGGAATAAAATCAAGAATGGGCTGGGATTGTGGGGTTTTGGGTTTTAGGTTTGTAGGGGTTGTTTCCTGGTTTTTGTGGCTATTATTTGGCTAAAAATGGGGGGTTGTTTTGGCTAATAAAAGGGGACAGGACTGGGTAATATTAGGGGTGGTTTTGGACATATGGGTTTGGGTTATTTGTGAGGGACATGGGCAGGAATGAGTGGCTAGTGGTGGGTCAAGGTTTTGGATTTTTGTGGGTGTTTATGTTGGGATTGTGAAGTGTATTTTGGCCAGGGGATGAATGGAACAAATGGAGGGTTTTATTTGTTTAATAAAAGGCTTAAAAGAAGGAAAATAACAACAAACAAACAGTTTTGGTTTGCACACTCTTATTTTCGGCCAGGGGCTAAAATAAGAGTAATTAAAACTTTATTTTGAAATGAAATTAATGGCAAGGAGTTTTGGATATTTTGGGTTGGGTTGGACGAGGTGGGAGTCGGCATGTGGAACCCTTGGGTCCGAAGTTATTCTGGCCTCTTGGGTTGAAGGACTCGGAATTCTCACTAAAACGGATCATAATGTTTGAATGTAAGTCCTCTGGTTTTTGTGAGGGTGTGGGACATCGAGGAGGGTATGATAGGGCCAAGCCCGGATATAACACCTCAGTTATTGGACCAACTGCGGCTACGGCCAAAATGGTAACCCCACTCGGACCGAATATGGCTTCGGCCATACCGGTCATTCCCTCACTTGGAACGAACACGGGTGTCTTTACATCCTCACCGGTCGGACATCCTAATGTCATGCTGCCTGCAAACTCTGTCAAAGAACTAGAAAAGTTCACAGGTGTTGGCTTTAAAATATGGCAGCAAATGATGTTATTTTGGCTGACCACCCTCAACCTTGCGAGGTACTTGAGGGAGGATCCCCCTGTTGAGGGGGAGAACGCGGACGAGGAAACAGTTCAGGCTATGGAAGCATGGATAGCAAATGTGGTGGAGCATCCACCCAAAGAGGGTTCTTCCAAAGGGCCTAAGCCAAACAAGGACAAGAAGAAAATTGGTCCTAAAGGATGCTATTTTATCTAGCAATTATTTGTTAAATAAAATACCCCAAAAGAAACGCGTTAAGACTCCTTACAAGTTGTGGTATAATAGGAAACCATCCTATAAATACCTGAAAGTGTGGGGGTGCCTTGCAAAGAGTAACATGTAGAATGGTAAGTCTAGACATATTCGTCGTAGACACAAAACTATTAGACAACTTCTCACAATTGAGATTATCACAATTGACTATGTGAAGTCAAAAGATAATCTGGCGGATCCGCTAACCAAAGGGTTAACAAATGAGTTGCATGAGAAGTTGGTGGCAGGAATGAGTTTGAAGCCCTTGTGCTAGGACAATTCTATGAAGGAAAACCCAACCTGGCTGGTACCCAGGTTCAATGGGACAACCTACTTGTAGGATGGAGCGTGGTCACTGTGGGGGCGGTACCGTAACCTCCGGACAATCCCTTCTGCTCCTGCTGAAGACAGTGACTCCCGAAAATGATGAGGTTAGCATATAAATATGCTTTAATCATTCTTAACCAATAGACACGGTGGTCTAAGGGGAACAATCGGGATACTCTTAAAGAATCACCTATGTAAGAGTGAAGTGTGGTCACTTCAAACGGAGGATCTTGGGCTTAATACTCTAAACACTCTCGTAGAACGGGGCACGTGTCCCACGACCAAAATAGGCACAACCATGAGAACAGAACGACGTTTGGTTGGAATCTGTGTATGGTATACTATCGTTTACACAAACGGCAGTACAGTTCAAACACATCGTGTTCTACTGTACAGCCAGTAAAGAAGGTATACTTTACAAGGGACATGTTCAAAAGTGGAGACACTTACATGTTCTTTGCAGGTTTTCAACCGTGGGATGTTGTCGACCCCCAAATCAATTTTTCATTCATGTGGGGGATTGTTGGAATTTTTGGCATTTTTAATAGGCATTAAATGGACCAACTTGGGTATATTTATCAATAGGTCCACTAACAGTTTTAACTGTTAATTAATGGCGTGGGTTCTCTTAAATGAGATAAATGTTTTGATAATTTATACGCCAAAAATGGTAGAGGGTGAATGAGAAATTGATTCTCAGAGTTAACCCGTCAATAGAAGAATATAGTAAGGGTTGCAATTTTTGCATATTTACTGAACCAATCTTCTATTATTAATTTTACGTATTGTTTAAAATTAGTCCATTTTTACGGAGTTAACTGGCCATTAATCTCCAATTATTTGGGACAAATTTTAAACGGAGCGTAGCGTAACGGACGTATTAATGACTAATTAATCACCATTAACACGTTATTAGTGTGCCACAAATGCCATGGATTAATGGTGTAGGAGTTACACTTTTTAAAATTCCTTAGTTATAAATATCAAGGGCTCTCCATTGTTTTGTGTGGTGCGTTTTATGTGAGTGGTTTTTTACGTGAGGAAGGGAAAAAAAGAAAGGGAAATACTTTTTTGTTTTTCTTTAGAGAGAGCTCTTGATTTTCCGGCCAACTTTCTGGCTATCCCCTTCAAAGTTTTGGTCGCCAACGTTCCTACGTTGTTCTTGTTCGTTGGTGTGTGATTGGTTCGTACAATCTCCGCACACGATAGCGGTTTTATCTTGGGAAGAGAGTGCCCACGTTTTTCCGGTACGGTAGGCGGGCACTACTACCTTAAGGACAGCTCCGGTGACTCCGCTGTCCTTCCATGGTGTTTTATTTTGCAGGTTTAGTTGATAAAGACCTCGCTGCGTTCTGCCCTAGGACATAATGTCCTCGCAGCCTAGTGCATAATGTCCTCGCTGTCCAGTGTATAATGTCCTCCTTGTCCAGTGCTTAATGTCCTCATACAACAAGGCTTTTTGAAGATATAGAAATTTATTTTCAATTCTGTTTATCTTGTAATATTCTGAATAAGTTATAAATTTAGAATTTTATTTATTTTTATTTTCCACCACCGTTCATCTTTCCTGTCCGTTGTAATCCGTAAAAAAATTGTAACATATATATACCAAGGCCCTAAACCCTTTAGATTTCTGAACTGCTAGACTTTTCATGACTCCTTTCAAACCTTTGTTAGGGATACTTAGGGTACTTTGCCCACTACAGGAGGGATGAGAGGCTTAGCAAACAAATTGGAATAAATTGGTGTTTGGCAACACCCTTAAAAACCTTGTTGCAGCTGAGGAAGCACCCTCCCAAACCCAAGCAAATTACGAGCTCAACCCCACTGACCAGAATAGGGAAGCCATGCAGCAAGCCAACGCTAAATTTATCCTTTCCACCAACCTAGAAGTCCAGTATTGGAAACAAAAGGCCAATATCAAATGGATGGATAAAGGGGACTCCAACACTCTTTCAAGCTTATGCCAAAGGTAAGAAAAAGAAACTAACCATTTTTCATATTATTGACTCCAATGGAAAAGGATACTACAACCTTGAAGATATCAAGAATGAAGCAGTATCCTACTGTGTTAACACCTTCAAGAAAACACATCTTCCCTCAGTTGACCCCATCCTTTCCCCTCATCCCCCTTGTTCTCTCCCCTCAAGACAACTCCCTTTTCAGCACCCTACCAACCTTGGAAGAGGTTAAACAAGCTGTTTGGGAACTGGATGATAATAGTGCCAGAGCCCAGATGGTTTTAATGGAAAATTCTTCAAAACCACATGGGATATCATAAAACATGATGTACTCAATGCCTCTCAGGAGTTCTTCTTAGGTGTCCCTATCCCAAAGGCTTATGGCAGCACCCTCCTGACTCTCATTCCCAAAATTGAAAACCCCGGGAAGTTTGATGACTTCAGATCCATCTCTCTTTCAACTTTCATGAGTAAGATCAACACCAAGCTCCTGGCCAGCAGACTGAGCACCTTACTACCCAAACTCTTATCCCCAGAACAGGCAGCCTTTCAAAAAGGAAAATCCATTGATGATCATGTACTTATGGCAGAGGAGGCCATTCACCTAATTGACAAGAAAGTTTTTGGGAGTAACCTCATTATCAAAATTAACATGGTTAAAGCTTTTGACAGGTTGGACTGGTAATATCTTGAGAAAATTCTGGCTGCTTTTGGTTTCAACTCTCTCTCAATCAACCTACTTATGGCAAACCTCAAAGGAACCAACTTTAGTGTGCTTATCAATGGAGAACCCACAGGATACTTCAGGATGGAGAGGGGTGTCAAGCAAGGTGACCCCCTATCTCCTCTATTATTCATTATTGCAGCAGATGGCCTCAGCAGACTACTCAATCAACAGATGAGCTCACAGCACCTTCTCTGATTCAATGCTGGTCAGGTCCTTTTCCCATCCCACCTTATCTATGCTGATGATCTCATGATTTTCACTAGGGGAGAAACCAGGAACCTGATTAAACTTAAACGCACTCTTGAACTCTATCTCAAAGCTTCTGGTCAGGAGATCAACTTCTCTAAGAGCAAATTCTACTCCTCCAAGAACACAACCACCACTCAGGCTCAGAACATGGAGAAAGCGTTAGGTATCAATAGAGGAACCCTTCCCTTTATCTATCTTGGGGCAACAATCTGCTGGGGCATTTTAAGGAAGGAGCACTGCAAACAGATCATGAGCCACTTCGAAAAGCTCATCCACTCTTGGTACAGCAAAACCTTGAATCAAATGGGGAGGCTTATCCTTATTAAGCATGTCCTTTCCTCCATACCTTTACATATCATTACAGTACAATCCCTTCCTAAATCCATCATCCATGTCCTCAACACTTATATGGCCAACTTCCTAAGGGGACAGAGGCAAGGTAAACAAAAATACCATTGGAAGAGATGGGAACAAATCACAAAATCTGAAGCGGCAGGAGGCCTGGGAGTAAAGAACATTGAGGATTTACAACAAGCATACCCACTCAAATTATGGTGGAAAGCAAATCATGACATGGGAATCTGGGGAACATTTGCTAGAGCAAAATACATGAAGCAAGGGATCATGAAAGAGAGGATTACAGACTCACCATCTTGGAAAAGAATCTGCAGGTATGGAAAATTTTCAACAAAATCCTTCCTTTTGCAGCCACCCTCAACAGATTTTCAAACACCTCTCCTAGCATCTGCTCACTCTGTCGCCATAATACTGATTCCATGGACCACTCCCTCCTCCACTGCCCGACAACCACCAAAGTTTGGAACCTCCTTGCCTCTCTTACCAATGGCCCACACGTCAAAAAACATACCTCCTTACGTCAACATATCCTTGCATGGTGGTTTAGTAGCAATACCAAAAACTTTAAAGGTAACCTTCGTCTCATTTTACCGGGTATTTGCAGCTGGTCATTGTGGAAAGCTCGCAACTCCCATCTCCATAATGGGATCATTCCTACGCCAGAAGGCATTACTCAAGTATGCTTCAAGACCCTCCAAGCTTGGTGTTGGGTTAACAAGAACAAGAAATGGATGGTACAAAATGATGACTTCAAGGGGTTGGGACTAAAATCCTATTGGAGAAATGGTAGGAAGATTCTTCAGAAACCCTCCCTTCTAGTTTCCCATGTTTTCCCCTCGATTGTAAGTTTATTCTGGTGCCGTTGTGGCTCCCTGTATGCTTTGTACCTCTTCTCCTGATTAATAAAATTCCCCCCTTCTTTAATATATATATATATATATATATATATATATATATATATATATATATATATATATATAGGGATTGACTCCAGTGCGATGACATGCTTCGGTCAGATTACGCAAAGCTCACCACACTACACTACAAAGCTCACCAATGGACAATGCAAAGCTCACCTGGAAATAAAGCAAAGCTCACCACTTTGAACCCCAAAACTCACCTTTTTTTAATTTTAAAAATTAAAAAATTAATTAAAAATAAAATAGCAACAACGGTCAACGGCGGCCGCAGGCGGCGGTGAACAGCAGCGGCCGGCGACCGGAGTATGGCGCCGGCAGGCGGCGGTCAATGCTGGAGTCAACGGTCAAAGTCTAGTCAGCACCCCTTCTTTTGATTTTATTTTTTCAAAAAAATTTCAAAGTGTTGAAAAAAATATGGTGAGTTTTGCCTTACAGTTTGGTGAGCTTTGTAGTTGTGCTTGGTGAGCTTTGCAATGGGCAGTGGTGAGCTTTGCGTCATCTGACCGAAGCATGTCATCGCAACATAAGGTGTCATCTCACTGGAGTCAATCCCATACATATATATATATAAATATAAATATAAAATAAGTTTTCTCTCTCTACGACAGGGCCCTCTTCCAGCAATGCCGGTGACCTCTTCCGGTCCATCCTCTGGCCAGCAACCTCATCCAAAGTCTGCCTCCACAGCTCCAGCTTCAAGGCCAGCTACTGTCCCCAGCAGAAACAAAAGCTATGCAGCAGCCATTCTCAACAATAAAATCCAGGTACCATCTCTTGACCTTCCTCCAAGAACCATTGAAAAACACAAAGGTCTTCCTTGCATATCATTCACTCAAGAAGAAGTTATCCAACTCTCAACTAGATTTTCTAAAGCCCTTATTGGCTCGTTCTACTTTGGAAGACCAAGCCTAGACTTTTTGAGACACAATCTTGAAAGAATAGGCTTCGCAGATTTTTCAGTCACACTTATTGATTCTACACATGTTCTCCTAAACTTCTCCAAAGATGATGAATACCACAGATGTTTTAAGAGAAGAGAATGGAGTTTTGGGCAATTCAAAATGAAGATTTCTAAATGGACTCCCAATTTTGGTCCCAAATACGAATCACCCATCCTCCCAATCTGGATAGCCATAAAAACTCTCCCAAATCCATCTTCATTACAAGGAATCTCTCACACAAATAGCTAATATTTTTGGCACTCCTATCAAACTAGATGCTACCACTGAAAACTTTTGAAGACTTCAATTGTGACCCGAAATAGAAAACTATAATGGGTCCATGGTATTTTACATCACTGCTTAGAGATGCCTCTTCTACACGAGCAAGTGAACTATTAGAAAAGAGCATCATGAGTGGAGTTCCACATGCCACAAACCTTTCATAAAATGTGGGTTTAATTCCTCAATAACACAATAACATATCCTTTAAAGGCTAATTAAGGCTTCAACATTCTCATGTTCGCTTTTCCTCAAGACTAAAATGAGGTTTTGATTGTTAAAAATTAAGAATGGTCATGAAAATAAGCAATTACTCTCAATAGGAGTAAAACATAGAGAAAGTACCAAAATAGGATCTCCATGTTTTTATTACCAAAATAAGAGTTTACACTGTGGTAATGTAGCACTGTGTATAGACACTTCACAATACTCTTTGGTAATGTAAATGCATTTTAATTCTTATCTTGGGAATAAGAACATAAAAGTTCTATTTTGGTATATTTTCTATGTTTACTCCTAATTTAGTCTTTTCCCCATTAAAATACTTGTAAATGCATACTTTGAAGATTCTTCACCATAACATGTACTCTCTCCGTCCATGTATGATCTTCCCATTACGCGTTACGAGGTTTGACCGACTTTATTTTTAATTCAATTTAATTGATTATAAGAGTAAAATTTTAAAATAAAATTTATATAGGAATAAACTAAATGAAAAGTTCTACAAAACTAGAGGTGACAAGACTATGTTATTTTATGAAATGACTAGTAAAATTGAGCAAACAAAGTGAGTAAAGTTTGACCCTGTGAATAGTGTCTGGGAAGATCTATGGTGGACAAAGGGAGTAGTATATAAGAAAAAATGATTTTTGGATTAAGTGGCTGAGCCTAATGTAAGTTCTAACCAGAAACAAGACGTGAGGTCATTTCAAAAAAAAAAAGTAAGGTAAATATTACACTTTTATGCCTAAAGGGTAAACCACAATAAAAAAGTTGAAGTATTCTAAAAGGAGGCCAAGGCAGACTAGAAAGAGAATGGATAAAAAGGGGGAATCCCTTGATGCCGTGACCTTGCCCTAATCGGGAATAAGGTAAATGTTCAGTAATCAGTACAGTCAATTAGTCAATCCAAGAGACCTAAAGCCAACCTGCTTAGTTACATCTTAAGTTCTATGAATGGTATGTCTATCGTATTAGCAAAACAATGCCTTAACTGAAATATTGGTAACAAACAAAATGGGCTACAATTAGTGTCTATGTGCCTTCCTTTGTATCATGTGTTGGAAAATATAAAAGGTAAAAGAAAACAAATACTCCCTCCGTCCCTGCCGGAATGATGTTCCTGGTTTGACTTTTCCTCATTTTCATTTTTAAGAGTGGTTGACTATGGAGAGAAATGGTCCAAAATGCCCTTCACTATGAACACCCCAATTTCCGCTAGCCACCGTCGTCGGCATCTCTGACCACCCTACCTTCTTTACCAATTCCCTGTCGCCACCACAACCTTTGGTCCGTCGCTCGCCGTCATCTCCCACCACAACGGCCAACCCCACCTCCTCCACCGACACCTACAGTGCCGTCAGCTTCCACCACAACCTCCTGTCCCTCCATCGCCGCCATCGCCCTCCATCGCAGATTTGGAAGAAAGAAAAGATTTGCGAGGAAGGGAAGAAGAAGAGTAAGAGGCGGAGGGTAATTTGTCACAGATCTGTTACAGATCTGTGTGGATGATGATGAGAAGAAGAGGAAGAGGCGGAGGACGATGAGAAGACGAAGAAGGGGATTGGACCTGTGTGGATCAGAAAAAGAGTACGGGAAGAAGAAGAAAAAGAGTACGGGAAGAAGAAGAAGAAGAAGAAAAGAAGATGAAGAAAAAGAAGATGAAGATTCGAGACAGAGAGAAGAAGAGTGAAAAATGAGGAGAAAGAGGGCAAAAAGAAAAAGATAAGGAGAACCGGAGAAGGGAAAAAAAGAGAAAGAAAGAAAGTAGGAAGAGGGTAGTTTTGGAAGAATGAGAAAAAATAAGTAGAATGGAAACATCATTTCCGGACGAAAAAAAACGTAGAATGGGAACATCATTTCCGGACGGAGGGAGTAATAGTTAAAAGACTTCACTGCAAAGTGAGCCCCAAATTGCAAATACTCATAAACACTTAACTTAGAAGCAGCACCATAAAAGTTAAAAAATATATCTATCATACTGTAATAATAATAGCAATGCTAGGGGTACACCAAAAGTGTACCCCATTTGTACACCACCCTCTTCTCCACCACTCATTTTAATTAATTTTTATTTATTTATTTTTTTTAATTTTTTTGCCCAATTATGTGGGCAAAGAGGGGATGGGGGATAAATGGGGTAAACCATTTGATGTACCCTAGCATTTTTCTAATAATAATGACAAAAGACAAAGGGAAAGGCGTGCCTGATAGAAAGTTTGGAGAGCCTGCATTCATATTCCTCCTTAGCACCCGAGCCTCACTATTTGACTCGACTGTCTCTATCAACTCCCTCAGCCCCAAGTTTCCGACCTTCTCCACTTTCATCTCCAGCTTCTCTTCTTCAGACTGCTTTTTCTTCATTACCGGCTTAGCACTAACTCTCTCAAAATAGTTCCCATATATATACTCAGGAGTGTACCCATTTTCCTCATCAAACAGCATGATATGACCGTGCCACTCCCAGACCCGGTAATTCGACTCAGAGTCCTCATGTAACCCGATGCAAATGTGGTGCTCGCCTATTGACACAGGCTGACCGGAGTTGGGTTTGAGAGAGTCCAAATTGCCGCTGTGAATAGTGCGGATGATCTCTTTCTCAAGCCTTGATTCTTCCTTCGCCACCTGGGACTTTTGGGTCGATTCAACGCCACCTTCATCATCTTCTTCATCATCATCATCTGAGTCGTCGTTTTTGCCCGAGAGGAGGCTATTGAAGAGGAGGTCTTCTAGGGATTTCGCAGAGAGCAGAGGAGGGTCAGGAGATGGCGGACGGATCTGGAGCCTGCACATCATGGATTGGAGGAAAATGTTATCCAGATTTTGAGTGGTATTGAAGGATGAATTCATGGTGGCAGTCAGACACAGCGGTGGTGGTGGAATTGCAGGGGTTTAGATTTTAGAATGTTTGACTGTTTCAGGTTTATGGCCGTTGGGGCAAGGTCTGAGATCAGCTGAACACGGGTCATGTTCTTTTAGACTTATGGACATATCTTCTTATATACTCCCTCCGTCCCAAAAAGATCTTCCTATTTCATTTTTTGCGCATCCTATAAAACAATTATACACACATCTAAAATGTCTAAAATTTACCACATTTCTCATTTATTGTGGGTAGAAATTGTTTTGAAAGTTTTTTTTGCATTTGAGGCGGAATAGAAGTGTTTTATGAGATGCGCAAAAAATGAAACAGGAAGATCTTTTTGGACGGAGGGAGTACAATGTTAAAGTGATATAGTCAACAATGTTCCCGCCCAATTTTTTGGGACGGGTCATTACAAATTGGGCTGGGTGTGATGAGATGGGAGTAAATGAGCCTATGAGGTCTATTAATGGCAGGTTATTAAAGTGTACCTCTTTCGTATACTTTAACCCATTGGGAGGCTATTAAAGTGTACATAGAGCCACACGCCATCCAATCAAACACATCTCGAGATTAGTCTACCCTATTTGTCCCCCACCCCTCCATCACCACAAAAAGGCAAGAAAATAAAAAAAATTAAACAAATAAAAATAAGAAAAAATTGTATGGTGGAGAAATGGGTGGGGGACAAATGGGATATACCAAATGGTTTAACCCTAGCATTCCTCTTAATAAATCTTTCATTTTGCCTTTCCAGAGACGCGTGCACAAACTTCTCGGATAAGCTGCTCAGGCTTCCTTTCTACGGGTAAATTTCACAAATGGTACCTGAACTTTAGCTGGAATTTTGAAGTGGTACCTGAACTTCAAATCCTTTCACAAAAATCCCTGAACTTACACAATCCTTTCACTAATGAGCCATTAGCCCGTTTCTAGGTTAACTTCCGGTCATTAGGGCCAAATTCGAATTTTATATATTTTAAAATTTTCAATTTGACCCCATTTCTTCTTTTCTTTTCTTCCACGCCCCGCCGCCGCCGCCCGCCGGTCAAAGTCGCCGGAAAATGAACTTTTTCCGATTCCGGCGGAACCAATGTCATTCTCTTCGTCTTGAGACGAGGATCAATAATATCCAAACCATTTTGTCTAATTTGGTCTGTAACTTCTCGAATCTGAATTTTTCTACTCAAAAAAACCCTAAAATTCGAAATTGGATCCAAAATTGGGGGTTTTGCAAATCTTCATCAAATCTTGCAATTGATGGGTCCTTGGAGGTC